CCTCAAACTTTTTTCATTGCATTCTTATTCTCAAATTGACATAAATTGTTCCTGTTTATGTTTTTTTTTTAAATCTTTTTACGATAAAGTAAAAGGACTATTTTGTCCATTGTATTTTTAATTAAGCAAAATAAATAAGGATGTAAAAATGAGATTATTTGACCATCATTTTAAAGTTCGTGAACAGTATTTTTGATGATTAAGGATAATATTTTTGTCTTAATGAAATATTAAAAATAAACAATATTAAAGAAAAAGATTAAGGATATAAGTGTAATAATGAATAAATGTTCATGTCCTTTACTGTAATTAAAACATGGTATACTTATAAAAAATGTGGTGTAAATTATATTATCACCCAAATTTATTCTTTCTTTCTCATTCATGTATCCCTCCATAAATTAGTAATTAGTGGAGTCTTCCCAAAGCATCATTTATAATTAATATTATTTGGTAAAAACAGATTTTGGAATACTGGGGTTTTGAAGAATGTGTGATTGAAAAGTAGGAAAAATGTTTTATGTATAATATTATTTTATTAAGAGAATACGTGATTGAAAATAATTTTGGAACAAAATGTAATATTGGAAAATGAGGCTCAAGGACCATGTATTATTCTTTTTCCATGAAGTTTTCTCACATAACATTCTCAAAAGATCCCAATAACTTGCATTCTTAATATTTTTCTAATTTGCAAAATTACCTCCAAATTAAAATGAATATGAAATTGGTTTTTGGCAGCAAAATAACAAATAATATCAAATTGTTTTTAACTTTTATTCGGTGAACAAAAATGATTAATTAGAGGATAGCAACGAAGAAATTTTTATTTGTTTTTGTGATGCATGAGAAGTCAAATGAAGTATACTCTAGATTTTTCACATTTTATTAACTTACAAAAATTAAATTTTATAGATTTGAAGTTAGAATTCAGGAAAAAATGAATAAATTTTATGAATCTCTCTCTCACACACACACACAAATCGTTTAAAGAAAAAATTATAGAGTTTGGTGAGTATGGTAAAACTCATGATACTTTTCCTACTAGGAGGTTTAGTGAGTGAAAACTAGATGATTGCAAAATTTCCGCATAGTTGAAAGGATTTGACAATCCATAAATTTTCTCTAATCTTTTTTATATTTTCCCATCTCATTATTTTTCTATGAATATGAATTTTATGGAGAAATTTAGCTCCTGTTTGAGCTCCATTACGATTAAGTTTTTGGGAAAAATGAATTTTGTAATAGTGATTTTTTTTTTTAATCATGTGTGGTTAAAAATAAGAAAAATTTTAGGTTTACGTGTAATGTTATTTTATTAAAAAATGTATGATTGAAAAGAAGAGATAAAAAGTTTAGAATTGATGGAGCACAAACAGGGCTTAAGGATTTTATTGTTTATTTATTTTTTGGGATTTAGGAGCTTAAAAAATATGTGGTTCAAAATAAGAAAGAAAAATGTATTTTAAAAATAATGTAAACTAAGCAAGGGCTTATTATCATAATATGTTCATTATCATGTTCGAAATCGCTACTCAATATCCATTGCATCCATATAATATATAATTAATATGAAAAATTCCTTGGATCATCAATTTCTTCCCCCCCCNATATTCAAAGTCAAGAAATTAATTAGTTAATTATAAGTAAACTGAAAAAATAGAGAGATCCATCGAAAAAGATCCCTCTTATTTTCTTCAAAAGAAAATGAAGTATATAATTTCTATAGAATATCTCACATCATTTATTGTAGATTACCATCTTGAGGTCCTTTGAAGAGCATAAATAAATATCTTCTCAATTACGACACAAGATACTTATTAGATCAAATGTGCTTATTGTAACATCCCAAAATTCTTATGTCACTTTTTCATAATTTTGAAAAGTTTAGGGACTAAAGTGAAATATGTTTTAAATCCATATATTTTTTAGATCAAATAATTAGATTTTTGATAGAGCGAGATTTAACATATCAATATTAGGTTTGTTGGATAGATCATATTAAATCATGTATTTTAGGTTTTGAAAAAAGTTAATTCGAATAAGCTAGATCCAAGATACTGATCTCCAAAGAAGTTATTTTAATTGGTAATTTCTTTAAAATTGGTGCATGATTTAGATTTTTTATGAGAGCATGATTCTTGTAGAATAAATGTTAAGCCCCCGTTTGATTCTGATTTTTTATTCAAAAAAATCAATTTTTTGATCTTTACCTTCCTAAGTGAGTGATCATTTTTTACTTATTTACTTATAGGTAAGATTCATTTTTTTCTCTAACAATCAAAAAATTTATCCTCAAAATCACTGCCGAACGAGTCATAATTGTTAATTGCAATCCTACATTGATTTGGATAAAAGTTTAATGGTAATCCTAATTTAATCAAACACTACTTTCTATTCTATCAATTCTTATATTGGTATCCAATTCAATGAGACCAATTAACAAATTGGTCCGCGTGTGTGCCCTACGCAACCTATAACTCAAATTGATAATTATGATTTGATAGTTAAACTTCACCTACATATTGAAAACCTATATTGTCCAATTTTATTGAAACACGGCTCCTCGATTTCAATTGTTTCAAAACTCAATTATTTTCAATTATGAATATTATGCAAGAGGTCCCATTATTCACCATAAAAATAAACGGCACCCACAAATTTAACGCGATGGCAGAGAAATTTAGGGAAAGGATTTGGAACATGAATTCATATTTCTTTCAAAAATTCGTTTGATCTAACAAGGTAAGATACTTGTATGTAAGTGATTTGTTTCCTTATACTTTTATGTATTCAATTAAATAGACAAGAATTGTCAGTGGATTTTCAGGTTCTTTATTAAGAGATATGAAACCCTATGAGAATTTAAGATGATTTAAGACGAGTGTATCGCTTAATCACCGTATACTCCGTAAGAGAATGGTGGTATGAAGTGTTTATTTTATTGTTAGATAATTGTCTATGAAAATTTCACTCATTTTACTGAGTATGTTTAAATATTCACTCTTAGGGTCCGTTTGATTGCAAATGTGGAATTTGGGTGGAAAGAAAACGAATTCTAGGGAATTGAATTGATGGAAAATTGTTTTCCTGGGAATTGTAAATTATTGTATTTGATTGATATAATTTTTCATGTGGAAAATGTTTAAATTAAAGTGTTTTTTATGTCCGTTTGACTTTGTTTTACATGAAAATTGTCAATTAAAGGGATAAAATTTACTGGTATTGGGAATAAAATTTGTTTCCATTACAAAAAAAAAAAAAAAAATTCAAGAAAATCATCTATCTTTGGGTCTTCATTTGAATTTGTTTTACATGGAAATTGTCAATTAAAAGGAAAATTTTTTTTACAAAAAATTTTAGAATTTGTTTTCATTACCAACAAAAAAAAACAAAAAAAGAAAAAAAACAAAACAAAATGCTACATTAACATTTTGTTTTTTTTTTTTTTTTTTTTTTGGGAATGAAAAAAAAATTTAAAATTTTTTTTTAAAAAAAATTTTAAAATTTTTTTTCATTCCCAAAAAAAAAAAAAAAAAAAAAAAAAAAAAAACAAAACAAAATGCTACAGTAACATGAAATTCCAATTCTCACCATTTTTGAGAGAATTGGTTTTCCTTAAAACCAAGAAAATATCAATTCCCGATACAAGTAAGAAAAGGCAATTTCATGAAAATAAAACCCTATCAAACACCCTAAAGTTAGAAAATGGAATTCTATTTCCATCTTTATTTTCCACGAAAAATTTTGGTGTATCAAACGAACCCTTAGAATAATTTTTCAGGTTAGTTCGGGTTGATTAGAATTGTGATGGGATGGTAATACGGACTGTCAGGAGGATTCAAAAACGAAAAGCATTAAATTTTCTATATTTTCATTGATTAATTAGTTTTCATTTATGTTATAAGACATGTCTATTTAATTGTTAGTTGATTATATTTATTTTTAAAGATACAATTTCGATGTTTTAATTTAAATTTATGAATGTTCCGGTTACATTTTTTTACCTAAAGAATTTTGTTTTATTGTTCTGTCTTTAATACAAAGAAAAAGAAAATTTTTTGTTACACTCCGGGGTTTATAAAAATTTGGGGTATTACAGTTGTTCGATCTATTAGAATGATTTTATTGTATCCAAACTAATAACAATCAAAACCATTTCATGAATAAAATGTGATCACTTAACCAACCAACGGATTAGAAAAAAACATACACTTAGTATGGTTTATAAAATAAAATATAGAATTTCTATTTTATTGTCCTATCTTTAATATGAAGAAGAGTAAATTTTTGGTAACGTTCTAGGGTTTATGAAATTTTGGGGTGTTATATTTATTCGATCTGATAGAATGATTTTATCATACCCAGATCAACACTAATCCGAACCATTTCGTGAATAAAATGTGATCAATTAATCAACCAACAAAATAAGTAAGAAACAAGTATGGTTCATAGAGGAGGCCAAGTTTGGTAGGTAAAACATGCGGTGTTGATGCAATGAAAATAAACCCACCACGTGGGTACATAAATAGCCTTAAACCTATCCCATTCTACCGTCCTTGTTTCATAACTTAATTATACATCTTGTGGGCTTCTTCAATTAATCATTTTAAATTAAAATTTGAATTAAAACTTCTTCGATGATAAATGTTTGTCTCACTTGATTCCAAAAACAACAGACAATATTTTAGCTTTTTTCTTTCTTAATACACTTTAAAGAAGAGCAATGCTATAAGTACAAAATTTTTCCACAGAATTGGTACAGAAAGACAGTTGTCTTCTTGTAATTGGTTGTTTTCAAAGACAGTTTTTGACAACAGCAAATTGTAAGAAGACAACTGTTTTTATGTACAAATCCTGTTAAAAAAATCTGTATTTACAGATTAATTCTTTTAAGAATAACGATATCAAAATAATGTAATGGTCGACTTCTTGTTGTGATGACTACAAAGTCTCAAAGGAAATTGTGGTGTCTAAGTAAAAGCTTCTTGCTTACTCTCTTGTCCTCTACCTAACCTCATGGAAAAGGCTAAGAAGGAAAGTTGAGTGGTAGCTGAAAAATAGTTACACCAGCCCACCTCTCTTTATACATTCGTGTATTTATATACAGAGAGAGAGGCAGGCCAGGTGAGAAGAGAGAGAGGCTGGGAATAGAAAGAGTAAGCATTTTGTTTCTTAACAGGCTTTTACACTTCAAAACACACGCAAATATATTTATTTATGCATATGTATGTGTGTATTAATTTCTATGAAATCTGTGTATAAACAAATGACTTGCAGCCTCTGACAATAGTTTGTTTGTGCAGTGAGTACAGAAGTTGTGATGGTTGATGAAGTCCCCTTTTCACTTGGGGTCACAATTGTCAAGCCATTGTCTGTGTTTGGTCATGGTAAGTTCAAACACTTGCCCCGTTTAGATGCCATTATGTTACGGGCGAAATCCCATGTTGATTAAAATACAGAATATTAGCTAACATATAAGAATTTGAACGACTCTTTTAAGACAGAACTTAAAGTTGAATACATTATTTTCTTGATCTGACATTGAATCATATAAATTTTTTCCGTTTGGATATTTTTTTTGTTGAACCACCTAACTTTTAATAGCTAAATATGTTATAGAAAGAACACAAATTTAGATAGTTAAATAATGTTTTGATCAAAGGCTTAACAAGTACACAATTTTCATAAATGGTGACGGTGAACTCCGATTCAAAACCTTTGCTAAACTACGTTAAAGTAACATTTTTCTCAGAGCTTAAACAACTTAGTAAAAATCAAAACCAGACTGCATTTATACAGAGTAGAAGATGTTCTTTAGTGTGCATAATGACAAAGAAATTTGGATGTTTCTGATGAATGAAATTTGTAAACAACAGGAATTACAGACATTGAGATACATTACCTCCAAATTAAATTCACTGCAATTGGAGTTTACTTGGATCCTGAAATTGTGACACACTTACAGCAATGGAAGGGTAAAACTGGAACTGATCTAGCAGAGGATGACGACTTCTTTGAGGCTTTAATTAGAGGTAAAATTTATGTTTTGTGCTAAGCCCTACTTTTAATTATTTATTCATTCGGGCTGGATGAGGGTGGAGTCGGGGTTGTGTTCATAATCGTTTAGTATGCTAGACAAGATAGTGGTAGATAAAATTAAGAAAAATAAGTGAAAATCTTGTGCATTATATAGTAGAATATTATCATGTGTTTTGTACAAACCCATAGTCTAAGGCCATGGTTTTGTATGTGTAACCAAACACGACTGGACAATATATATAACACTAGGACTAAATGTGGTCTGATACGAGTCTCAAAGTGTCATATTGATGAAATCACCGGTGCAAAATTTTCTTCTTTTGAGTATAAACATCATAAGCACTTTGAATAGAATTCAATATTAACACTGGCTTGTAACATAAGGATGTGCTTATAGGCCGCAAAGCATGATTCTACGAGCGATTTGGATCTAAGAAGTAGTTTTACATTAAAATTCGTACAGAGTGTGTATTCTTATGGGGACATTGATTCTTCTAAATGATTAAATATGACTTAATTTCAAGAGCTAATTTGACAAGACTTTTGAAAAGTCAAAAGCTGATTTTGAGACTAAGAAACTGTTTTAAACATGTTTTAACTCTTTTATGAGAAACAGAAGTCCTGTCAAACATGCCCTAAATCTCTAATTAAACTTTGCAGCCCCAGTGGATAAGTTTGTAAGAGTGGTTGTGATCAAGGAGATCAAGGGTTCACAGTATGGAGTGCAGCTAGAGAGTGCGGTAAGAGACCGGTTGGCAGCTGTTGATAAATACGAGGATGAGGAGGAAGCAGCACTCGAGCAAGTAGTCGAGTTCTTCCAGTCGAAATATTTCAAGAAAAATTCAGTCCTTACATTTTACTTCCCAGCTACTTCTGGATCTGCTGAGGTAATCACCAATCATTGCTAGATCAAGAACAATGCCAAAATTCCCACTAAATTTAGAGTTCGATCAGCGTGAATCTTTTGTTTTACATAATGTTGTTCATTCGACAGATTGTATTTGCAGCAGAGGGAAAAGAAGAATCTAAACTCAAAGTAGAGAATGCAAATGTTGTTGAGATGATACAGAAATGGTACTTGGGAGGAACCAGGGGAGTCTCTCCTGCAACTATCTCCTCATTAGCCACTGCTCTATCTGCCGAGTTATCAAAGTGAATGTAACTTTTAATGTTCAGAATTTGGATTGCTTGTTCTAAATCGTGATTGGTTATTAAACCTAGAATTTATCGTACATTATGTTTTTTCATATCTCCAGGCATGCTCGCAAAATAATTTCTTTTGGGATTTCATTCTTCCAATTATTGAAACTCAAATACTTTCCCACTTTTTATTATTATTATTATGATTAGATCAAGGTAATTTTCATTGTCGTTGATGCTTGTTTCTATATGTAAAATCATTTTCAAGCATTGCGTTTTGTTCTTATATTTGTTAAAGAAAGAGTGCAATCGACTAAACATGGGCAAAGAATTTACTCCTTTTCACTAGGACTAGTGTATGCAATGTTTGCTTTGCTTGTCGTGGTTTCTAATGTATTGTCTTTTTTTGAGCGACAACTCAATATGACTCAATTACACTATAAACTTCACTCTTCTTATGGTATTAATTGTAACCACGGCTTATTGGCCCACTTCGTAGAGTCCATTTGGAACGGACTAAAATTTGATTTTAATTTAAATCAAAGTCAAATAATCAATATTAACCACATATTTATGTCCAAACTCAGCTTGAAGATCTTTGTTGACCAAACACATAGACTCTCAAAATTTTTTACACTCTTATGCAATTTGTACGGAAGTTTATAATTTTAGAGGGTGTTTAGTGGGGTTTAAAATTAGATTTTTTAGTAGATTGTCATATAAATTATTAAAACGTGTTGTTGAAAAGTTGTGGCAAGAATCAAGTTCAATTGAGTTGTTTTTATCGACATCGAGATGTGAGGATGTTTTCTTGCCAGTTGTTTCTACATTTGTTTACACATCTTTTGAGTGTATAATACCTTTAAAATGAGAAATAAAAAGGAATAAAAATTAAGAGTCGCATAGCAATTCTAAGATGACATAATCCATGATTAAATTGTTTACACTTCAAGTGGTCTATTAAAGTGGGATGCGAGATGAATTTTTTATCTGTACCTCGTCCGTTCCTTGATTGTGTTGATTTTCAAGCCCGGTGGTGGACCACACAATTGGCCATTTTGAGTAGAATTTGATGACCATAATCATGTATGTTTCAAGTTGTATCATGTTTAAATGTAGTTCTCTGACAGAAAAATGGGGAGGAGTGTTTCGAGGAATTGCGAGACCTGTTTGACGAGATGTTCGAGAGTGACATAGAGTCATTCAGTTCTTCCAATTCCTCAACCCTTCATAAATCATGTTATCTAAATACAAATCATGTTTTCTGTGTTAAATATAGATTCGGGTGGCAGAATTGATGAAGTTTGTGTCAAAGAAAATGGTGTGGTTTGTGATTAATAGAAATTATGTGATTTGTTGGTGAGATGGGCATTGAAATTCGAGAGAAATGGTGTGATTTATGAGTAATACAAATAATATAGTTTGTTCGAGGAAAATTAGACCGATTAATTGTATAAGTTGTAAATAATAGATTATTTGTAACCTATTAATTATTTGATTTGGGACATTATATATGATTGTGATCTATAAATTGTTTCGTATGTCATCGTGACCTTGTGTAATTGTGGCTTCGTATGTGATTGCGACCTATAATTTGTCTGGTATATAACAACTTGTTTAATTTCAATTATATGTCTCATCATTTATCTAAGGTTAAAAATGTGACCACTTGATTGATATTTAATTTAGGTTAATTTTTTGTCAAATAAAATTTGTGATAATATATCCGTGCTAACAGGTCACAGTCAAATAATAAGTCACATTCAACACATTAGTAGTCACAATCGATCAAAATTAACACACACTTGATCACGGAAAGTCACTGTTAACATATAAATGGTCATAAACCTTAAATGTAAACAAGTTTTATCACAAACTTTTATTTGTTAAACAGATATCTGATTATATATGTCACCATTAACACAAACTTTGTTACTCACAATTATGACAAATTTGGTTACAAACAGTCACAATGAAAATATACTTTTAGTAACAATCGATCACAGTTAACATATATTTGATCACAAAAGGTAACGATTAACATATAAATGGCCACAAACTTTAAATGTAAATATAATTTGTCACAAACATTCACGGTTAACATATATCAGGTTATACATGTCATTTTTCACACAGACTTGATCACATACAGCACGGTTAAGATAAATCTAGTCATATATAGTCATAATGAAGATAAGTTTGATTACAAGTAGTCATAAATAACACAAATCCGTCACAAATAATAACAGATTACACAGACCTAATCACAAACAATCATTGTTAAATAGAACATGATCACATACAGCACAAGTAATATTGTAAATCACAAATCACACATTTTTTGCGTTATATATTTTTAATTGTTCACATTTTATTCCTTTTATTGGTATAATTATTCAATAGTTGGTCACAATCTCTCATCGCGTCGGATTATGGAATTGAGGATACGAGTATGATTCCATCGCTGAAATGATAGGGATAATGTTGACTTCATAAAATACCTCGAACTAGATTAGTCTATATCTTTTCTTAATGCGCCACATTTAAGGTTTCAATTGCCCATTAAAAAAATGTATGATGTCCAATCCTTTTTAATCTAAAATTATAAGTTAAAATATTTAAGCAAGCTGGCCTCTCTTTCACTTCATAAAATACCCCCAGGATTTAGTAATTTTGCTTTAAGAGACGGACAGAGAAAAGTAATGTCAGACATACTGAAGTGCCTAATTTTCAAGCTAGAAGTTTTGGGGATATTTACCGTAGTCGTAAACTGAAGGGTATCAACATAGACAAAGTATTTCAACAGGGGTACAGTGCTCCAGAAGATAAAAATAAAGCAATTGGTGTGCAATTACAGGGTAAATTTGGTTGGATGTGTTACATAAGATACCAATAAATAGCATAAAGGAGTCTCAATATCAAGCTGATCTCAGTCAGTTTAACCAACCACACAGATGCCCAAATACCTCTTCTTCCTTGCCTGCCTAATCACGACACACCCCGCACCGTAGGAAGCAATGATCCGCGATCACAGCATATTGTATACAGTATGTGAGGTAGCCGACTGAATCCTCGCCGTTTTAGCTAAGGAAGGACTCGCTGGAGTTGGGCTATTTTCGCAGGTCGACTTGGCCTTCGGCTCACTCAGATCAATAGGAAACACAGTAAGGCATAAAAAAATTACAATTGACGATTCCATGTCGAAGAAATGAGCAATAAAAAAATTGTTGCATGTGTAGAATAAAGTGTGGCCATGAAGAAACTCCAAGTCAAAGAACTGTCAAAAATAACAATCGGCGTTTTAAGGTCCAGAAATCGACACATTACACAGCGATCGTCGCGCGTAGGTGGGTGAGGGGTACCGAGAGGGAAAGGGGATCTCAGTCAGCGATCGTCATTGTCGGTAGGCGTGGAAGACAGGGAAAGTGACAACCAATTTGGGTTTGTAGAATTTAAAAATAAATTAGGATTTTGAAATCAGTTAACTCATCTGTAAATTTAGGATAACCTTATTTGATAAAATAATTTTAACAAAATTTAAAAATATTTTTTACATAAATAAAATATAATTACCACATGATTTTTGAATAAAATTAGATAAAACTTGATTAATGATAATTTAATCTTAAATCCATGTTTCGGCGTAATTTCCTCTTTTAAGTATTTGGAATTTTTGTTTCTAAATTGATGTACATTTTAATATCAAGATTTTTACCTTTTGGAAAATGGACAATGTTAGATGTACAAAATTTGGTTTACAAAAAGTTTCACTTACACTCACAATGAAAAGGTGGGACCATATTTTGAAATTTTTTATTTCATGCAGAGTCTGCATGCATGTGAGAGGGAGTAAAACTTTTTGTAAACCAAATTTTGTACAAATATCTTTATCCTTTGAAAATTAGTAGTGATTTGTTGTCGTGCTGTTATACAATTATTAAAAGGTTAATTTCACAAACGGTCATTGAGCTTACTTAAAAATTACAAAACGGTCACTAAAGCTTACAAACTTGCAGAAATGATCACCATTATGACCGTTATGATTTAATTCAAACTTAAAGGACCAAGACAGTGAACATAGAATCTTGAGGACCTCAAGTGCAAATTAAACCTTAAATGGTTTATGTTGGAATTTATATAAAAAAAATCTTTCTAGTTTTATGCTTAAAAAAATTATAGCCCCTGTTTGAGCCCATTTTTATCTCATTAAAATGAAAAATATGATCGTTATTCATCACATCAAACCACCATTTTTGAATTTTTATCTCTGATGTGGGGCTCATAACAGCTCTATTTCTCATTCTCATTCTCATTATAATGTGACTCAAACGGCCTCATAATAAAAAAAAATTCTTTCTAGTTTTATGCTTAAAAAAATTGAAACTTATACTAAAAGAATTCTTTCCAGAAATAATTAGTTTTATAAATTTTATAAAATAAAAAATAATGTTTAGTCAAATAATTATGTCCAACTAAATTGAAAGTACTTTTCTAGTTATCAATTCTATCAATTTAATGTTAACAACGTTGTATTTTTTGACAACCAAAAATCATCCTACCAATTGAAATCATATCTACTTCACCATTAACTAAATAACAAGCTTAGTTTTTAAGGTTTGAAATTGGGTGATTAGCACAAAACGTCCCTACCTTTGGAGGTTTTTGTGGATAACGTCTCTACCTTTAGTTTTTTGGTGGATAACGTCCCTACCTTTACCATTTTTTGCGCAGAACGTCCTTCTGTCAATTCACCGTTAAAATGTTCTGTTAAATCAAATAAAATGGATCTTTTCTTTTTAAAATGCGAGGGTAATATCGTACATCCAACATTTTCTTCACTGTATAATCGCTCCCGCCTCTTCATTTTTCGCATAACCGACCCTTTCTCTGGACGAAGCGAAGGGGACGACGTTGTTTCTTCTTCTTGCCCAACCATATTTTGTGCGCATTCCGGTTACCCTTTTTTCCTCTACGGTGATCACCCTCGTTGTCGCACAGTCGAAGCACGCTTGAGGCAATTTGAAGAAAGCGAAGGTAAGAGAAGTTTGGGCTTGGATTTTTACGATTTCAAGTTAGGGATTCGGCCTTTTTTCATGATTTGGTGTTTTAATTGAATTTTCTACTGCTTTATTGTTGTTATGCAGGCAGAGAAGGACCCATAACAGAATGGAAGTCCGAAGCTGCCAAACTTGCTCCGTCTTCACCTGAAGCTGCTGAAGGAGATGGAATA